GAATTCGAGTTGGACGTTAAGTTTTGCTTCAATAAAGATGAGAAATGGTCTACTCAATCGGGGTCACGTGACTTTCGCTACATGTCAAAAGTTACATTTTTTCAAATTAATCGCTGAAAGTAGGCTTATTTGTTCGTATATCGAAAAAGTTTACTTGAAAAAGTTATTTTCATTTCAATTTTACACATGCTCCTCGAATTTGATTTTTCTATTGCAATTTTTAGATTTTGATTTTTTAAAATTTTTAGAAATTTGAATTTGAAGAATTGTTAATTCCACGAAACTACTTCATACCACAAGCATTTTCATGCTACTTACTTTCAATTACTCATTATCACTGATTATGGACAGAAATATGATTTTCTTCAGAAAATGATAAATCCCGCTTCCAAATTCTGTTATGTTTGATGCAAAGTTGATATATCGTCAAGCATTTTGAAACGAAATTCATTCAAACTGATCTTATCAGTACTGAAAAAATAAATTTAAATGCATTTCGTTTCTAAATGCTTGACTCAAACATAACAAAATTTTGATGTTATGTTTGCATCAAACATAACAGAATTTTGAAGCGGAGATTATCATTTTCTGAAGAAAATCATATTTTTGTCGATAATTAGTGATAATTAGTAATTGAAAATTAGTAGCATGATGAAACTACTGGTATAAAGTAGTTTTATCGAATTCACAATTTCTTTAATATTACAGAAATTTCGAAAATGTTTAAAAAATATCGTAATCTAAAAAATGTAATATGAAGATAAAATCCGAGTCACATAATGAAAAATTCAAATAGAAACAACCTTTTCAAGTGAACTTTTTCGATATTCGAACAAATAAACCTACTTTCAGCGATTAATTTGAAAAAAAATGTCACTTTTGACATGTAGCGAAAGTCACGTGACCCCGATTGAGTAGGCCATTTTTCATCTTTTCTGAAGCAAAACTCAACGTCCAACTCGAATTTCAAAATAAGTCATCAATAAAAGTTCTTCCCATATGATGCCGACTTTATGAATGACACTGTATACATAGTTCATTTCAAAATACCCTCAGATAATTCATTTATCCAATTTATTTTCATCCTGATACCGATATTCAATACTCATAATCAATGTCCATAGTGCGGAAAATAGATATCAATGTCGTTATCAGTTACTAAACTGAAACAACTTTCATATACTAACCACTTCATTTTTTAAATAATATTGCTGGACATGATAAGAGGGGAAATATTGAATTCAGCTGAGGTATTATTATAATCAAATAAAACTTTTTTCATTATATTCTCGTTTCTGATATCTGACAGTTATCAATCCAAGGTAATCTTTTTATCGTATTTTCAATAAATTAGATGATCGCCCCTGTTGACTGAACCATTTTGAACTTATCTTCATAGAGATAGGCTCGGAGATAGGTAACATTGTTGCTTGATGACTATCTCATGAATACGAAACACTGCTTCATCGTCAATAGTAATTAACTGCTACATAATTTATATGTTATAATCATCCTTCCGGAAGGACAAGGACTGAGAGCCTCTGGCTTCTAGGATCATTATGTCAAGTAATTGCCAATAATATGTTTAATCAACATGACTTGGTACTCAATTGGCCGAATGAATGTCGAATGTCTGTGAGCACAATCATTATGATCGTGAACATCAACGCGTTGTGCACTAATACACATAGCAAGAACAAGGATAACATGGACAATAGGCACGTATATCTTGGATTGTTCAATGAAGGGTTTCGAACAGCTATATGATGCAAGACTCTTTGTAGGTACGGTCAGATACAAATGGAATGTCGCACATGGGTGGAGATATAGCACTTCTAGTCACTTCTGCAATGAAAGCGCTCATACCAACCGCGACATGTTCTTTGGTTGCATTCGACAGTACATCGCAATCCTGATTATTTCTTCGAAATAAAACATATAGAGAACTGATTTTTCAATGTGGAAATGAGAATACGAGGATGATGAATTGAGATACCTACGTTGATGGTTTATATTTCATCTTCAAGGAGCAGGTCCACGAATGATCCTGAGCTTTGATCAAACCTCCTTTTATACTTATATATAGAATATGCTAGGATATACTACATTTGATATTTGTCACCCGATGGCTGTCTATCGCGACCAAACTCTCTCGCTCCATCATGATGGCTGCAAGAATTATTGATTAAACTCCACTTGGAGATTTTAACGACCTTGCAGATATATTATTCAGTTGAAATATTGCTTCGATTGGTAGATTGGTAATATGGAATAATTATTTGTAGCAGATTGAAAACGATTTTTTTTCTCATTCGAAGCTGAGATCTACTTCTGGACAAAGATGGAGATAAATCAGGGGATCTCAGGTGTTTATATTTCCTTTAGAATGAGTAATGTGTCATCAAGTATTCGTTAGAAGAAGCCATTTCATCATCCGACTTTCTCAGAAGTCAAGGACTAGGAGACGATGATTTATCAGCAGATGAATGTTCTCACCTTGAAATAATCGAATTAACTGCTGATATCCACAAATGATCCCAATCTCTATGTACTCATTGAAAATCTGTTGAGTATCCCACATGAGAGCAATGAGATATGTCTCCAGGAACTGACTTCAATAGATTTTGTATCCAATAATCATTATGATTTCCTTCCAAAGGTACTATTATATCCATAGAATGGAATTGCTGTGGTCACCCATAATGATGTTTGTTTTCTTAATTATCATTCTTAATGGCATCATCAACATTCATAAAGTTTCTTATACAGTCATCAACACTTGAGTGAAAACAATTAACATAGAAGGTATAGGTAGACATGACAATCATAATTGGCTTCTTGTGAAAGAAGACGGAGATAAATTGATATAGTTTCAAAGCAGCACCATGATGTACTATAACCGATTTGTTTAATTCCCCAAGAGTTTGTTACTATATGATTATCAGATGAGAAAATCCATAAGAATTTTCCTAGATTACAGTGATCAACAGGCTGCTATAACTTATATTCCCAAAAGGGATTACCACTGTTCTTATGAAACAAAATATGACGTGGTCATCAACAATAAGATTTCAATGATTTTTTTCTGCTCAAAATGAAAAAAATTGAAAGTGAAAACAGTTTCTCCCAACCCCAGGAGAGCAGCTCGATCGTGCAGTGCTACACCCTAGTGGGCGGTTGCAGTATAGTAAATTCCTCTTGAAGATTCCAATTATGTACTAAAAATATATGATTTAGTCGAAATATTTCCTCGATTGGTAGATTGTGTTATCGGTTTACCTGATGGAAAAAACCAATTGATGAAGTAGGTCTTTCATCAATGGAGTTTTAGACTTCATCAGAAGATAAGAAGACGATAATTCATCAGTGAAAGAAGGTTCTCACAATGGATTTTCTGTGAAGAAATATTCAAAGTGACACTCGATATCCACAGATGATTCCAATCTCTATGTACTCATTGAATCTGTTGAGGGTGTTATATAACTGATTTCGAGAGAACCATCATCAGATGATAGAGAATGTGTTCTTCTCAAAGTACTTTTGTCCCTATAGAATGAGAGTGATTTGGTCACTCATGATGACTATTGTTATTTTAGTTTCTTTAAATCATCCTCAAAATTCAAGGAGGTTCTTGAACAGTCATCAAAATTCGTAGTGAAAATGATTGATATCGAAGGTACCTATAGGTAGATGCCAATCATAATTGGTCAACTTGTGAAATGATACGGAGATGGTTCTTTCAAAGTATTAGCATGTTACACTGCGAATGAATTTTCAGATTCCTTCAAAAGTTTGGGACTATAGGATTTTCAGATGAGGATATTTCCTCAGATTACAGTGGGTAAGAGGCTGCAATACCTCGATAATCAACTCATAAATGGATATTCTATTTTTTGTAATCAATGAAGTCATCTGTTGGATGGACTCTTGTGGTACTGGATATGAGGAAAAATAATCAAACTGATGTTCGATCATGTGATGAAGATGTTATTTCCTCAAAAATAATAACCATTTTCCTCATGTAATGAAATATGATGTGGTCACTCGTTTTCTCAATGAGTTCTTTCCCCAAATGGAAAAAGGTTTCTCGACCAACCATACAAACTTGTACTACACTAGTGGGCGGCTGCAGCATGATTTTCGATGACCTTGAAAATATTAAATATTTCTTATTTGGAGCTACGTTTTGCTTGTAGAAAAAAATGGAGATATATCACGATACTTCAGGTGCATTTATATTGCCTTTGGAAAAAGCAGAAACTTAGATGAAGTAAACCGAGAATTGAAACTGTGTCATCGGGAATCTGCCAGAAGAAACCAATTCATGAAGTACCTCTTTCATTAGAAAACTTCAATAAATTTATCGATGTACTATTGTCTTCATAGAAAAACAGTGATGTGGTAACTCATATTGCTCTTCCAGTGATCATTTTTCAAATATTTTCCCTAAGATCCATGAAGTTTCTTGAATAGTCATCAATGATCGTAGTGGAAATAATTGATATCGAGGGTATACGTAGATGACAATCTGGAATCAAGGAATCTGAAAGAATATAGAAAAAAATTGAGGTTCTTTCAAAGCATTAGCGACGTTTTTTTTTTCAAATTCCTTCAAGAGGTTAGTAGGAATGGAATGATCAAGAGGCTGCTTCACCTCAATAGCCCACAAGTGGAAGGTTGTCGTTATGCTGGGTAAGTTTTTGTGACGGTGAATAAGAAAAAAAATCCAGAGTGATGTTGAATCTTGTGATGAAGATGTTATTCTCCCAAAAGTAACAGAATATGACGTGGTCACTATTAAGAATAAGTTATTTTCTCAAAATGGAAGAAAGAAGTCAAAACGGAGAAAGTTTCTCGACCAACCATCAACACTTGTACTCAACGACCGCGGAGGCGGGTCTGCCGCTCCCGAGGAGCGGCACCCCACCCCTGGAGCGCGGCGCCAGCGTGCAGTGCTACACTCTAGTGGGCGGCTGCAGCACCATGGCCGCGAGACGTACCTTCATGGCCTCCGGGCTGGCGTGGGGGCGGCCGCCAAGACGGTCGCCGCCGCCGCCGCTGCGTGGCGTCGTGGTGTAGATTGCGTCGGCGGGGATGCCGCCGGGACCGGTGGCCGTTTTTTCTATGTCCACTTTCTGACTGGAAAAACAAAGGGAAATCGTGTGTGAATCAAACGCATTAGCCAATATTATGAGGTTCAAGTTTCGTTTAGCTGAAATCAGTTATGAAAAAACTGTTGCCATGGCAACGATCGTTATGGTAACGAGTAAACAAAAACCCGGCATGGCATTATTTTTTCCACAACTGATTTCAGGTGCTTGGCAACCACGCATTTCCTCACCACGGGATTTTGTTTTCTGATTACTCGTTACCATGACAACGATCACCATAGCAACAAATTTTCCATAACTGATTTCAGCTAAACGAAACTTGAACCTACAATGAGAATAATAATTGCGAAACGATCAACTTAGACACAGCAAACGAGTAAATTTTTAGAGTTAAAATAGGTACTCTGGCAAAATCACTCTGACACTACCAAACTCCATAACTATAATGCCGTATTGAATTCACTCTATATTCCTAAAATTTAAATAAAATAGCAATTCAGATAACTCAATTCACAAACAATTGAAATTGAATTTATACTAGTGTTTACTGACACTAGTGAACTTGAATGTTCCACTCTTGTCGATCAAATTGACACTCTATCATTGTTCAATTCAATCTATATACGATGAAATATCAATCTATACAGTTTCAAATCGTTTAGTGTTTAGTCTACTGGATAGTGAAATAAGTAATACTGATGATAGTGTCGATGATATACGGATCATGATATTAGCTTCAAGTAGCTTTTTTACTATACCCGCGTAGTGAGAGATTTTTTTCAACAATGAATTATCAACGTTTTTCCGTATACCTATCTCAGTTATTTTCCTTTTTTCCGTTTCAAATTATCATTTGGAACTATTCATGAAACAGATAGGTTAACTGATTAGTCTAGTGGGACGCGAGTCATTTTTCAAATATCAAACGATCAAAATATTATAAAGTCGCACTACTTCTCATCCGTCAATTCGCGCCACTGCATGCAGATGGCGCTGCGGAGACTGTCGAGATTTCGCCGCTGAACGTCTGTCGGAGTCCTATAAATACTGTGACATGTGAAAGAATGATTAATCTAACTTGGATGAATTCTCAACAGTAAGTAGTAACTAGTTTACTCAACTAGTGTTTTATATCAATCTAAAATGATGAATGAATGATAACTCCATATCAGCACGATTACCATTTCACTTTTTTCTCACGTTATTCAAAGAGATATAGAAAAATGAAAGACACTTTCTAGATGCAACTTTTTGAGCTCTACAAAACAGCTTTGAGAGATTTTCCATTCTAAGTTTCGTTTCGGAGAAACCATTTCCGAGAACTCCATGGTAGACATCCTCATTTTGGACACACCGTATAAAACATCCTGAGCTTCAAAACAACTCATTTGAAAACGTGAACTAATGAAACTACAATTTTTATATCTCATATTGCCTGAAGATAACCCGCATGTCATAGACTGAACTCAACTTTTTTCTGCTGAACATGCAGTATATGCTTCCGACACCCAACAACTACAGTGCGAAACAAAATCACATTGATTACACTTCTGTAAATGTATTTTATGTTACACCCCTTTCCTAATTTCGGCTAATTGGATCCCAAAACATCAAGGCACATCTCATCTTCCATGTTTATCGCGAACAAATATTCATTATTTATACAGTTGCTCTCCTCCCCCACAAGTTTTGTTCGAATGGGCAGTGTTCTCATCTCAAAGCGCCAAACTTTGCAACACCACGTAGATCGTCGTTTACTGTCCATTCCTTTGCGGGATAAACGGCTGCCTTAATGCTCCCACGTCTCATGGACAAACATTTCTGGGTGTTAACTTTGTAAACTTGGCACCCGGGCTGGTCGCAAATTCCCCAGATTGAAAAATGGTTTATTTCTCCGATTGGCAGCAAATATTAATTTTGCTGACACATATCAATCAGCGAAGTATTACTCTTCCTGTCTAGGCAGCAAAGTGGGTACTTTACTGATCGATATGTATCAGCAAAATTAATAATCCATGAATGATGATGCGTGATTCACCCTATACCCGCACACAATTCAGTATGGGAAGTGTAATTTTCCCGCAGTAGTGCGGAAAAAGTTTTCCCATACTAGTGGGTGACACAATATGAGAATTCTAGGTTTTTTTGTTACAGTATCAAATTGCACTATTCATTGTGAAAATGAAGAAATATTGAAAAATAATAATTGATTGTTATATTAATTCCCCTATTCGCGAGAATCAATGCTACCAGGTGGCGCTCGGTTATCATCGTTCCATGTCAAAGCCACGTCGAAACTGGGGAAAAACAAACTCAATCCTCACTCAATCCCATTAGTGCCATTAGCTTGTGTACAGTGTACTGATAAGAGTGATAACACTTTATGTCATTGTCAAGTTTGACAACAACAGCTACAGCAAGATGTATGCAATGTAGTCTATGCACTTTATCCATAGACAACAGTTTGTTTTCCCCCAGTTTGATGTTCGTATTATGTAACCTAGATGTCATCCACTTCGTGAATTTCGCGAAAAGCCTTCAATTGATCTGATGTGGGAAACAATTGTTGTCATGTCAATCAAAACACGAATTAGTTAGTGTAATTCTCAGAGTGACAGACAGAGTGTTACTGTCATTTTCGATTCAGTGGAATTGCGATGAAAAACTTCCAGCTACAGATGCGATACAGATGAGTTATTGCCAACGAAGTCTCAAGGAATTTATGAGAAGCACTACACGGGATTCATTGAATGGTGCAATAGTGAACAGTGAAAACACCAAATAAAGAAGAAGTATTTTTGGCTCATTTCCTAGAAATGTCTGAAACCTAGAGGCCAAATACCATGGACATGCTGGCTTCTGCAATGAGCTCACCTACATAATGCTTCAAACGGTACACACAATAGATATATATATATCATTGATTATTAGAAGATAGAGAATATATCACTATTGTTAGTTGTTCCTATTTGCAGGGATAGTTGATTGAACAAATCAATCAATTTCCTACGCTTGCCCAAACTCCGCTTTGCGTCGTTCGGGTCAACGGCATTCGCGTATCACTTTCCGCACTTGTTAGGGAATAGTATATTGTTTAACGAGCACGGAAAACTGCAATTATTCTAGTGGTGAATTAGCATTCCGTGCGAGATATACACTATAATTTTTCTACGGCTGTAACATATAACATCGGCATTTTCGATTTCTTCGTCTTGTAGCCATCTGATTTTCTGTCAAGTAATGCTCATCTTTCAGACAAAGCTGTCATTGCTTGAAATTGAACATTCCATGAGCGATGAGATTTCTTTGAGATAATAACACAATGGAGTTATTGTGATGTCAGATACGGAAATGAAATTAATGACATACAAAGAACCTCATTGATGTATCGAACACAGTAAAAAAAAACATGATAGCTATTAATTATTGTAGTAACTCCATTTGTCGAAAAAGTGGAGTCTCCACTTTTGAGCTCATGCACGGCAGTATACGAATGCCAAGTTTTTCCTAGAAATAATGCTTTCTTCAAAATCAATACGGCAGCCATAAAAAATACTGGATATCACTGAAATGGAGTGGTGTGTGGTCGTAATGTTTCTTCACCAGTTTCTACATCCTAAATGCCATTTTGATAAATTTCAAAGGAATATAGTAATGATTACTTCTCAGATTGAAAGTGTTTGACCGATTATGAATTGCCTAACGGCAAATATAAGCTGTTATTTATTTATGAGAGTTTCTAAAATGTTCTGTTTGGCCTAGTTGATGTCCCGCTCTCAAGGAAAGGAATTCCAGCAATCACCTTAAACACTTTATTAAGGGGATAGAAATTATGTCTGGCACTAATTCAACCGAGACAGTTTGCCTCTGCATTAATTCTGCTCCTTTCCCGTCCGTTATCAACGTCTGCGAAATTTAAATGGCAATTTATTTTATATGGCTTTCTTTTTCCTTCCTCGCGAGCAATTTCTCCAGAGAAATGAGCACCCTGGATGATGATGAACTATTATTTTGAATGAAATTAAGGAAATATACCTAATCATGGGTTGCCAAGATCCTTTCGGGAAGTGAATTGCATGATAAACTTATTTACTTTGCCGAGTTCGGAGATATGTGAAGGCAGATGACATTCAAGTTTCATGGGAGAAAATATGGAAGATAGGTTTTTATTTCATTTATAAATGCACACAGAACAATGAACCTATGATCCAGTAGTATTGGAGGAAACATTTTCAGTGGATCCTTCTGTTGGAGATCTGCATACTGTAGGTTTGGAGGTACAATATTTTTCAGTCTTATTCAATATGCAACACACAAAAATGCAGGTAGATGAAATCTAAAAAATAAATAGGATGAGAGAGGTTAAACCATGATTATTAAACATATTTTCTAACTTACCAATATTATGTTCTGCAGACATATTTGATCGAATGGAAAATAATACTGCATGAGAAAAAAAAACGAAACCACAGAAAAACACTACTATTTTCGACACAAATTTCAAATCATTCAAACTTGCCTCGGATTTTGCCTAAACATGGCGAATTTCTATCGAATAATAGAAAATATGACATATATATCATTGTCGTCACTGTGTTTAATGCAGTCACTGTAGAGTAGACGGATGGAGCTTGTATATATTAACTTCTACAAGTTCTTCCTTCAGATGAAAATCAACGTGTTTGGCTATTATTTGTGGTGAACCACACATATGGTAGTGAATTAACCAAACCATAATGGTATCAGGATATGCATGGTTGATGGCTATTATCGATAATACTATTGTTCATATCTTGCGATAGTTGCACAAGGTATCTTTGATATCTTTCTTGAATTATTCCCCAAATTGTTTTCCACTTCCAGAACCTGTTGCAATGGGCTTATATCACAGAAAATTTTCATTTCATAATTCGATAGAACTCGCCCAAACTAGCTCACCACCACAAACCGTTTTTTGCTGTGAGCTCCCTACGTTTTATAAAAAAATATTGAAATCCCAGATTTTTCGGACCTCTGAAAACGAGGCGA